TTGTGTATGTTCCTCAAAAGGCTGTGAAAGGGCAAGCATTGGCAGACTTCTTAGCAGACCACCCGATACCTGATGATTGGGAACTCAATGATGAATTACCTGATGAAGATGCAATGGTTGTTGAAGTTCAACCGCCTTGGAAGATGTATTTTGATGGGGCCTTACTTGTTTTGCCAATTCAAACAATGATGCCGAATTCGAATCCTTATCAACAAAGTTGTTATCATCAATGACAATTGTATCTAAAATATCAACACCACAACAAATATCATCTAGTTCTTGTGCCTTTCTTTTTGGACGATTCCAGTGACGATCCGTTGGACTAGGAGATGCATTGGGTCGTCTAACACCATCCGGTGAAGCGTACATATGAGAAATTTCATCACAAGGCGTCTCAAGGTTTGACGTTTGGTCATCACCATTGTCTGATGATACATGAAGTTCATTTGTTCCAAAAGAATTATGGCCAACTTTGGGAGAAGGTGAAGTCGCCTTTGAGGCTAATGTGAGACGCCTCAATTTTGATTTCGCAGGCACATCCCCATCTTTCGAGGTTTTAGACTTGGATGAGGTCTTAGCGACTTGCAGAGTATCATTTGACTTCACTTGAGATTTGGAAGAAGGATGTGACTTTTCCTTTGATTGATCAGAAGCCCCTTTAGATGAAGTGGATGTAGAGTCTTGCTTCGTCTTCTTTAAAATGATGCGGAGGTTTCCTTGGGAAGTATTCATCCTTTGGGATGGCCATCAGTCTACATACTCGCGGGTCATTAAAGGAGCACCCTCTAATGGGCACGTTGGAATCATGACTTTAGAAAAAGTATTAAGTCGAAAAGAAGAATTCCAAAGTTGCACCAATGTTAATAGTGTACCATCGTAAGGACGTTCCACAAGATCTCCGGGAACATCTTGACAAAAACCGAATTGTCGACTAAATCTGATAGGGCTGTAGGACTCCACGATGAAATTTGAATCATGCCTAAGGGTTACATAGCCTGAACGAAGGCTTATGATATATTCGTTCCACGAATTTGAAAGCTTGCCATTATCAGTAAGGTGCAAATCCCTCCCTTGCAGCATTGCTAAATGATGGAGGCGACGGGCATCATCCTGTTGAAATAACTTTTGGGCGTCAGTAAAATTAAAACACTTGGCCATCTTCTCGCCAGAAATTTTGCAAAGAGGTATCGATCGATGTGAACGATTGGCACGATGATGAGTCCCAAAGTATTCCCCAAGCCAACCATATACATAGTGTATGGGGAAAATTATATTTGCCACACTCAAGTTTGAAGAAGTAGAGATTTCTTTCAGGCCGTGATATATGCTTGCAAGAACTGGGACCGCTAAGGAGAATTTCTTTCCATGAGCCATCAAGCTCGCAACTTTAAAAACACTAGCTCGCACATGGTTGACTTTCTTATTCGGAAGAACAAATTTGCAAAGCCAACAAGCAAAAAAGGCTGCCAAGTTAATCTCATCTCTAAGTGATTCTTCCACATCTAACTCGACAAAGGGGGCATTCTCCTCGTCAGTCCGCGGTAGGAAGTTCGAATCAATATGTCCAGAAGGATTGTGATTTAATCTTGGCTTTGTGGCTCGTACCTTTGACACCTTTTGCGGAGGCTCGGCATATCTATTAGGTCCTCTAAACCAAAACTTCACCCAATCATGGACGGACACCTCCTGGAGATCATCTTTCGCTAATCTGTAGAAGGCTGAAAACAAATATCGACAACTTTGGGGAAGAGACAATTCTTTTTGAGTATCCGTCTGTGTCAATTCTTTCGCCGAGGGAACGACTTCGTCATAAAAGTGCCCTTGTACGGGGAGACCTCCAATGGATTGTAAGTCCCAAAGTGATATGGACATCTCTCCAATGAAAGTATAAAGCGTATTGGTAGATGGGCGCCAAAGTTCACAAAAAGCATGGAGTACATTGTCGTCATAGTCATACGTGAACAAAGAAGTATATACAGCGTCATAGACCTTGTTGAGCTCCAAAATCTCCTTGTGGCGGGGCAGCACGTCCTCTACCCATTCCCAGTAGCCAGGTGTGTAGCAAACATTGCCAAAGTTAGAAGAAGGAACACACCAATTGCTGAAACTTCCATCAGAATGAGAAGATTTAGAAGATGCTGCGTCATCATGAATCGCGGATTTCAGTAAAGGAACTTTCATGCTAGTAGCCTTGCTCGAGAAGTTTCTCATAACATCTTTGGTATCCATTTTTGACCATTCTTTAAGGAGAAGAGATTCATCATATGCTCCACTAACAAGGGAGAAGACGTCGATAGCAGGAGGTTGAACTTCCAAAAGTAGAACTTTGGCATTCGGATTTTGTTGGTCGTCGCCCACTATTTCAAGAAGAGGATGCGGCGAATCTCGGTCGCGGAAGTGCATCATGTTGCGGGATCGGAGTCGTATTTCTCTATCAAATATCTGCGAAAAAAAAATAAAATTAAACAAAAGAAAAAGTTCAGTTTCGTATGAACATATCCAAAATAAATGTGGTAGCCTCAAATTTTTGTGGTTGATGAAAGGCAGATTTCAAAAAGAAAACTGAATCAACACAGATGCAATCTAATAGTGGTTTTCGTATACGATGTAGCCCTATGAATTTGCTTTCCAACACCGCAAACCGCTTGTGATTTCGTTATTCCTACGTCCAGATATGAATTTTTCCGCGAAGTCGCAAAAAAGCTGATGCGTTCAGTTTATCAGAATTTTAGTCTGAGTTCAAAAAATCACCTGAGTAAATCCGAGAGTTGTTTGATCGTGATTTTCGGATATATTGTAGCTCTATGAGTCTAATTTCTGGAAAATCAAACGGATCACGATTTCAATATCCCTACAATGAGATATGAATTTCCTACCAAAGTCGCGCTGAGCTGAAAAAGGGTGACGAAAATCAAAGTTGAGAGAGAAGGTCTCAATTGAACTTGACGATGCGGCAATGCGATATACAAACACCGGGTGAATGTGGGTATATATAGATTTCAAAATATGGAGACATCAATTTGATTCCTACAAATTATGGAAAATTATAATGATGGAAAGTTTAGTTCCTACAAATTATGGAAATTATGGTAAATTTTCATAGGAATTAAATTATGGAAATTTTCCATGGGAATTAAATTATGGAAATTCCATAGAAACCAAATTATGGCAAGTTTTCATAAGAATCAAATTATGAAAATTTTCCAAAGAAGTCGAGTTATGTAAATCTCATAGAAACCAAATTATGGTAAGGTTTTCTCAGAAACTACATGGGCAGTAAAAAAAAAAACTGGCAGGGCATTCAACCCCAAAGAAAGCAGCGCCTAAAATTTTTTGTCGAAATCACAAGCTCTGTATCACCAAGTCAAGCTTGTAGACGCAATCCTTGCTCATCAAATTGGCGGTCGTTTTGTAGTTGATGATCCAAATAAAATTACCAAACTATGAAGAAATGTCATGCGATAAGTCTTCATGAGCTCGAAACACTTCAAGTCAAAAATGAGTTGATAAACAACCGAAAGTCAAATGATCTCTTCCAAATTAGAGAATGTTATCATGAAGACTCCGGTAAATGTTGACATCAACATATCGGCATAGTCATTTCTCATGAAGCTTCAAATGTTTCTTGAAAGACCAACTACGAAGAAGGAAAAAAAAAAAAAAAAATTTGCTTCACAAATACTTCAAGGCTTGTCTTTACAAGTTCGATAAATCGAGCACCCCAACAAGCCTCGAAGCAGGGGGCATTTGTAGACAGTGAAGTTTTATTGATAAATCCATACTAAATTTGGATTAAATCTTAAATTCATGATACATTGACCAAGTCAAATTATTGGTTAATAAAGTCGAATTAATATTTATGTCAGAATTATATGACTTAAATCAAGTTCAAATAACATTTGGGCCAGTCCATTAATTTGACAAGATGAGCCCAACTCATATTCTTCAGGCCTAGGGGTCAAAATTGCTTGGACCAAAATACCCCTAAAGCCCTAGCTCAAGCCTATATAAAGAGGTCTTCATAAGACCAAAAGGAGAGAGACACATACATACACACAGAAATACATAGTTGCTCTTCATTGGTGATCTGCAAGTCTTCCGCATACAAAGAAGTCTTCGCTCCAAGTATTGAGCCGCAAGTATTCCGCCAAATCAAGAACATCTGTGGAAGAGAAGAATCAGGGGATTACATATCTTCTTTTAAGAGATTTTATAAAGATTGTAACCTTCGCATTTATTCAAATACAAATATTATTGTTTGCTTGCTATTTTTCTTTTCCTATTTACTGTATTTCAGGATTGAAACTTTAGACGCTTACAAATACTTATAAGTACACCATTATAGATGTCCAAACATAAAATATAAACTTAATCATAATTAAACACAATAACTAAAAAGGGACAAAAAGTGATTACCTCCTAGTTAATTCTAAACCCCTCTCTCTCTCTCTCTCTATATAAAAAAAAATTTCGGTTTTTAAATTCAAAACCAAACCAAAAATCAAACAAAACAAATTATTAATCCAAAGCAAAAAAAAAAACAATCCAACATAAAATTTAATTTGATTTGATTTTTCGATCTAATCCAAGTAATGTACATCCATATTAAAGACTTTTAAATTATCAAGTTTAGGGAGATTATTAAGCTAACATAAAAGTTAAATGTGCATTAAATAAAAACAAAGTATAAAAGGGTTTTTGATAAATTTAGTAGTAGTATATTCAAATATGATAAAGAGGTAAAAACAGAATAGTCACAAAAACAGTCTTCTTCTCTCTCACTCTTATGAGATAGAGTAGGAGTAGTACAAATTTGTTGAAAGAGAAGAAACGAATAAAGCATTTCAATTTTCATCAGCACTGTAACACAACACCATACATCAGTTTGATTTTAGGGTTGAGCACCTGAAGAGAGAGAGAGAGATGGGAAGGAAGCTTTCTCAACTCTATAGTCACACTAGTAGCACATGAGTTTATCTTCAAATAAATAAATAAATATATACTCACTCAGTTACTTTAGTATCTATATGTTTTGAATTTGATGTGAGATAGGATAAAATTACACAGATCGAAATGATGGACGATGGAAGTGTGATGGAGACGCCGGAGATGATTTCCGGCGAGAACACCGGCAATGCGAGAACGGCGACGAATGAAGTTGCCCTTACACCGACAGTGTCGGGAGGAGGAAAGGGTACTTCCCGGAGAAGGATGTCGGTAGTGAGGCCCAGCCTCGACGCCGACGAGTTCATGACCCTGCTCCACGGGTCGGATCCGGTGAAGTTGGAGCTAAATCGACTGGAGAATGAAGTCAGAGGTTTGTAATGTTAGCTGGATCCAACTCCGATTTGGTTCTCGTTTCCTTGTAGTGAATGATACCGGGTCGTTTTCTTTCAGATAAGGACCGGGAACTCTCGGAAGCTCAAGCGGAGATCAAGGCATTACGGTTGTCGGAACGCCTACGAGAAAAGGCTGTTGAAGAGGTATAGTAAGCAATATTTGAATATACAATGAGAAAATCTTATTTTGTGCAATCGGAAATTATGATATAGTATTTCTTTCTGGAATACAACCACGACATTGTTTACCATTGTTGACTGCTAGTAAACTCAATTTCAAAAGGTGAATTATTTTTTTTCCTATGATTTTGATTTTTTTTGAGGTAACTGAATGCAAATAACTAAGGGAGGGTATGCATTGGTTGTGAAGTGAAAAGATAATGTGTTTTCTATGCAAGGAAATGTAGGATTTATTGTATCTGTTTTGTACCAGAAGTGTGAAAAGTGAAATTGTAGGATTTCAATTGTCACATTCTGTTGCATGTGTTTGGACCCTTAAAAACCAGCAGGTACTTTACTCGTACAAATTTAATCGTGTTTGAATGTGATTTGCAGTCATTTAACTTGGTACTATTTTTTGTTGTTATTTCTATTTGAAGAATCGGGAATCATGATTAGTTCTGTTTTAATCTTTTGAATATATCAAGGATATTTTAAATATGTTTTATTTGACCTGGAAAGTTAAATATGTGTCATGTGAAGATCTGAATATTGATGCAATATCCAAGAGATTTATAGAAGAAGAAGATGAACTCTTGTGAAATCTCCTAAATTTCTTGGAAGCTGCATGGAAATGCTCTTTGGTTAATTTTTACTTTCTGGGGGGTGAGGTAGAGGGATAGGGGTTGGGAACATTTCTGATAATGAGAAGGTCGTGGTTCATGCTCTCATGCATAAACTGTAAAACTTGAGAATGTGCAATCTACTTGTTGAAGCTAGGCATATCTAGATTATGGTTTAATTTGTGCTATGGTTTTGGCAACAGCATTTTGCATAAAATATCTGCTTGTTGGTTTTATTTGGCTATATCTGATTGTTTCTGCTGTAGTGAAATGTAAGCTACTCATAGTCTTTAAAAAAATGCTCATATGGTATTTTTCCTTGTCCTATAACCTGTAATTTTCAGCTCACTGATGAGTTGACAAGGGTTGATGAGAAGCTCAAGTTGACAGAATCACTTCTAGAAAGCAAGGTACTAATTCAGAATCTTCTTATTATAGGTTCTTCATTTTTTTCAGTAAACTATTTTATAACTTACAGTACTTTTCTTGCTTTACAGAATCTTGAAATCAAGAAAATCAATGATGAGAAGAAAGCATCCATGGCAGCTCAATTTGCAGCGGAAGCCACTCTTCGAAGGGTCCATGCTGCTCAAAAGGATGATGATATGCCGCCAATTGAGGCCATCCTTGCGCCTTTGGAGGCTGAACTCAAACTTGCTCGTCATGAGGTGTCTGCCTGCGTTTCATGTCTGTAAATGATGCTAAAGCTCAGTCTACATATGAGGATGCTTTCTTACACTTTGCTTTATCTTTTTCCAGACTGCGAAACTACAAGATGATAATAAGGCATTGGACCGTCTTACCAAGTCAAAAGAGGCAGCTTTACTTGATGCCGAAAGAACTGTGCAGTCAGCATTAGCAAAGGCGTCTATGGTGGATGACCTTCAGAATAAGAATCAAGAGCTGATGAAACAGATAGAAATATGCCAGGCATGTTGATGATTCAACTATTGGTTCTGCTGCTTAAGATATTGGATCATTTAGGTGTCATTTGTTATAAGAAAATGTTTCAATATTTTCATGAAATATTTGTTCTAGTTTTTGGGAAAATTCTCTTCGCCCAGACATGAAATATTTGTTTGTTTTTTTTTCTTTTAAAAAATTGAAAGAATTTCATGAAATGTTTTGTCACCCATATTGGAACTAATGTCACCTTAGTGTTTAGATGCATTCTATTTCCACTTATTCTGTTTCATAAACGTACATCAGGAAGAAAATAAAATTCTAGACAGAATGCATCGCCAAAAGGTTGCAGAGGTTGAAAAACTTACCCAAAGTGTGCGTGAACTTGAGGAGGCTGTTCTGGCTGGTGGTGCAGCTGCTAATGCTGTCCGGGATTACCAGCGGAAAGTTCAAGAAATGAATGTAATCTATCTGAGAAAGATTTTTTATAAATATTTTTGATAATTAATATGTCGAGAATACTAAATGTTTTGATACATATGCTAATCTATTCTTCCAGGAAGAAAGAAAAACACTTGACCGCGAGCTAGCACGTGCCAAGGTAACAGCTAATAGGGTAGCAACTGTGGTTGCTAATGAATGGAAAGATGCAAATGATAAAGTAATGCCCGTGAAACAGTGGCTTGAAGAGAGGAGGATTTTGCAGGTATGGTAGTTTCCAGGGCTTGCCTTCTATAAGATATGGAGATCCTGTCCTAATAGAACTTACTGCATTATGCGCATGTGGTTTAATGAGCTCATATTTCTCATCTAAGCCCTAAATCTTGTACTGCAGGGTGAGATGCAACAACTACGTGACAAGCTCGCAATCACTGAACGAACTGCAAAGTCAGAAGCCCTGTTGAAAGTAATATTTTGTCCAATAGAAAGGGCACCCGAAAATGGTTTTTGATATTATTTTCACAAGTTTTTAACTTCTATCCTTTACTCAGGACAAATATCAATTGAGGCTCAAGGTCTTGGAAGAGACATTGAGACCATCAAGCACTAGCTCTCGCAATACAACAGATGGCAGAAGTTCAAGCAATGGTCCTTCACGTCGGCAGTCACTTGGTGGAGCTGAAAGTATCTCCAAATTGACCTCTAATGGCTTTTTACCAAAGAGATCACCTTCATTTCAGTTGAGATCTTCTGGGTCCAGTACTATTCTGAAGCATGCGAAAGGGACCTCAAAGTCATTTGACGGTGGCTCAAGATCATTGGACAGGGGTAAAAAACTTCTGAATGTAACAGGTCCAAATTTCAATAGCAGCAAGTCTGTTGATGGAGCTAAGGATAATGAGACTGAGAGTACTTCTTGGAAATCAAATCAAGATGAAAAACGCACCGACCTACCAGTAACCGAAACAGAAGATACTGTGCCTGGACTACTATATGACTTACTGCAAAAAGAAGTAGTTGCTTTGAGGAAAGCTGGCCATGAAAAGGATCAAAGTCTTAAAGACAAGGACGATGCCATTGAGGTTAGACTGATTTCTTGCTCAGCAAAGTTATGGTTTCTTTACTCAGATGTTTGTGCTAATTTTGATTGCATTCTTGGGATCAGATGTTAGCTAAGAAAGTAGAGACTTTAACAAAAGCCATGGAAGTTGAGGCCAAAAAGATGAGAAGGGAGGTTTCTGCCATGGAGAAAGAGGTGGCTGCTATGCGTGTCGAGAAAGAACAAGAAAATAGGGCAAAAAGATTGGGAAATTCTAAGGGTCCAGTGAACAGTTCTCAGCTGCTACCTGGAAGGTATGTCTTCAATATGATTATCAAACAATCTCAGTTAATTCAATTATGTACAATGACATACATGTTATTCTTGTTGGATCCAGGGAGAGAGAAATTAATATTCCTTCTGGCATACTTGCAATATATCTTCTACCTCTGCCTGGATAACTCGTCTTGCTATGTCTAAATGTCATTTTGTGATCTAATGTTGTGACCTACTCCCTCCATCCACATTATTTCATTTTTAGTCCGTTCCAAAAAGAATGATAACTTTATAAATTTGGAAATAATTTTAACTTGAATATCCCATTTTACCTTTAATGTCAAGCTTTTATAGCCACACAAATGTGTTTGATACCGCAAGTTTCAAAGTCCCATAGCCACACAAATGTTATGACATGTTTAAGACCACAAGTTTCAAAAGTCTTTTCTTTATTAAACTCCATTCCCTGGCAAACTGTGCCACACAACTTCAAGCCGAGTGAGTATTAACAAATACTAGTTGATTCCAGAAAAGAATTAAGGAATATTCTTTTAGCCCTTCTTATTTGCTTTGAGATGATGGGACAAGTTATGTACTTGTATGCATGTAACCTCCAGAGTATGTCCACTCTCTAGCTTTACTGGTTGTTTTCACCATGTTTACAGTTTATTAAGTGATGGAAAGTGGATGTGTTTTTGACATATTTGTTGCAAAGTTCCCACAGCCCTTGTTGTAATAACTTGGCAATGTTCAAATGTGTTATCTTAATCTGAAAGCTTTAACATATCAATATACATTTGTGTATGTTGTGTAGCTGGTCAATGTCCATAAAGGTTACTGACATGATTCTTTGGTAAGCCTTGACAGAGATGAAATATTGCTATTTTCATTTGGGATACATATAGACGTAACAATTCCTTAGTGTTCTGTAGACAGTTTGAAGTGTATGCTAGGGTTCTGAGTTTGTGAAGTGTTCTGGTAGACAGTTTCAAGTGTATGTTAAGGTTCTGAGTTTGTGACCTTGTTTGCTTTTTGAAAAACGAGAGTGATCACTCATAACTGTTTCCTTTCTCAAAAAAAAACCCCCGGAAAAGGGTCATAGTTGCTCCTCAACTCTCAGAAATAGGTTATATTTACACCTAGTCATACTTTTTGATACATTTACCCTTACCATCACTTTGGGCACATATTTTCCCTTGGATGGTTGCTAATATTATCCTATGTGGTGCTTACATGGCATCTATGTGGATATATTTTTTAACATAATTAAAATTTTACACTTGAATTAAATATTCTACTCACCTCAATTTTTAAAATTAAACCCGCTTACCCCCTCAAAACATTTTCTGTAAAAAAAAATGGATACAGAAAGAAAATGTAAGGTTGTGCACTATTCTAGAGCTAATGCAACTCATCTTTTCACTACTAAATCTATCTTTAGTGTTATCAGCTTTAGTATCTTCATGAGAACTACCCTTCAGGGTGGCCCAGTGGTTTGGGCTTGGGACTTCCATGTTGGAGGTCTCAAGTTCGAAACCCCTTGCCAGCGAAAAGCAAGGTCCCTTGCCTTCTGGGTCGAGCTTGTCGCACCGGGCTTGCCTAGTGCGGGAACCCTTGTCATAAAAAAAAAAATCTTCATGAGAACTCTTCTTCAGTGGTATGAATTCATCCAGTTTTGTCTGATTTTCTGTATTGCATTGATTCTTCTCTTAGAGCTATAATTACAACAATCACTAGAGGAAAATAATTAACACCCTCAATCTTCCCATTCACAGTACTTCACAAAAACGAACAATAACATACTACTAAAATACAAGAACAATCTTCAGAAATCTATTTTTTACCATCTTTTGCCTTCCATTCACAACTATAATAAAAATTTACTCTAGTAATCAATACCCAAAAGCATCAGAAGTCCTAAAAATTCGACAACTTACAATGTTGATTTGAAAAGTTGTACAAACTGATATACGGGTATGGCCTGATGACCAAATGTTTTCTCTCTCTGTATAGCATTTTCTCTCTCTTTATCATGTTTTATGGGAAAAGGGAATAGAAGTTGATCTATTGGGTGGGTCGGGTTTAATTTAAAAAATGGGTTGGGTAGGATATTTATTAAAGAGTAAATTTTTTAATTATGGTCAACATATACAAAGAATATGACTAGGCGTAAATATAACTTATTTTTATGAGTAGAGGGGCAAATATGAGCCTTTTCCGAAAAAAAAGAAAGAAGAAAAGACGAGTGATATATGCCGTCGACCTGAATAAATTTCCCAAAGGTGTTTGGGTAATCATCTTTGTGGTAACTGTGTTGTGCGGGATGCCTTACAACCTCTGTTTTCTTGGAATCTGCGCTTACTTGAAAAGCATTTTAATCAAAGAAGAGTAAGAGAACCCTCCCTGTTTCTGAGGTTCCTTTCTTTTTGTTAGGTTGACAGTAGTCATTGCATGTCACTACCTTGTCAATGTACGATGGATCTCTTCACAACGTGGTTCATACACCAATACTTTATTCGAAGCTAAATTGTCACCTACATGGGCTCTCCTCTATGTTTAGGTGCTGCTATGCTTCTGAGTGGATTTTAAGAGAAAAAGACGGCGGGGGTGGGAGCACAAACCTAGGAGTTCATCATGCTACTGCTCTGACCTAAAATTAGATGGTAGAGTAGGAATCAGAGTAGATCTCCGCGAAAACTTTTGTCACAAACTTGTAGTGCTCCTGAGCAACCCAAAGCTTAATATGTTAGTTGAAAAGATGACCCTACAAGTCATTTGCCTAAATTTTACCTAAAGACCCGTGGCCAATACTTCGAAATTATGGTTTGAGACACTGTCTCATGTGTAGCTTCCTCAGCAGCTTAAGAAGGCTGCTCCTAAAGAGGGACAACAAGTTTTGTGCCTGAGAAAAGCTTTGAACACTAGGTCTCATGCCTTGAAAAATGATCTTTCAGAGGATTTCGGCTGCTAATGTTAAAACTCAGGTGGAAGTTCTAATTTTTTCCAGAGAATTCTGTTGCTAAAGATTAATTCAGCTGGGAGTTCAATGGTTATGTGGTTTATCCAAGAAGGAAATTCTGATTCATCACAGCTATGGTAACTGTTCTTGCTGTTCGGCTATCTAAAACATTAGAAAATGGCGTGGTTTCTGAGTAGCACACAGCTGACTGTCTTTTCCTTTGCCACAGAAAATTTTGGTTTGGTTAAGCTGCTAACAAATTGAATTTTCTTTAACTGTAGTCATTCATCTTTGGAAGATGATACTACATAAGTTGAAATTGCGACTTGCACATCTTCATTTGTCGAAGATAATACTGCATAAAGTTGAAATTTTCTCTTAACTTAAAAGAATCTTATTATCTGCAGGAGTGTAGCGCGAAGTGGGTTAACACGCACACAATAGCACACAAGGGAACCTATAAACCTGAGGAGTTCCTTGTGTACCTTACAAATCCCCTATTTTAACCCCGTAATGGTTGATTGTAAAATTGGAACAAGCATGCCAATGACTATGATGTTTCTGCTCTGGTTGGAGCAAGAAATCGATATCTTCAAACATGGAGATAGGCAGTGAATCTTGGTGTGCTTCTGACTTAGAAGACTACGGTCCGGTCCCTCTCTGCTTACAGATAAGCAGGAAAAGAAACTCAAGATGTCAGAGTTGAGCTAACCTTTTGGCAGAGAACAATTTGTGTGACAGTTGGTTTTGTGGTTATATAGAGTAGCTTGTTGGCATTTACTTGGTCTATTCCGTTTTCATGTTGTTTGCAGTCTATAATTGTAATCTGCAGCTCTAGTGTGATGTGTTATTGGTTCAGGTTTGTTAATATTGTTGCAATGAGATAAATATGCGAAATTTTTCTCCGCATGTTTCGTTTTTTAAGTTTTCTATTGCTATTTCAGTTCAAAACTTGTGGTCGTATGAGTTTTCAGGCTAATACAAATGATTTGTCCATCTTCTGACCTATGTACACGCTTTTGAAACTGAATTGCCTTTAGACTCGTCGATACAAAACCCCTACTTGGATAATCATTATCGTGCTCTCTTTAACGGTGTATTCTCAGGATAATCAGATGCTCTCTTTTTTTGATAGCAACTTTAAGAATGACACCTTTCAATTAAAATAAATTGGGGTGTTTTTTAATGCTTGGTATTGTGGACCTTTTAGAAATGTAGGGAGTGCTGGGATGGAGCATCATATGCTTGTGTCAGGCAAGCACATGGTTGTAGTTATCTGGTCAAAATGAAAGCCTAGTAATGATTGGACCTTTAGCTCTGCGGTTTCTTGCGGAAGAAATGAGAGCCAATTACAAATTAAAAATTAAATTTATGAAATGAATCTTTTCAGATTTTTTATTGTAAAAATGAAAAATTCACATCATTTTTATATATAGAAAAAATCATTTTTATATTTGAGATAGCTCAGCTGGTTTATAGGGTGATTATCCACACAAATGATTCGAGATCGATCCCCTGTCAATGTCTTCTGAGCCGAGTCAATCGTATAGGGCTTGTTTACACACTGGGGAGGGAGGGGGGGGGGGGGGGTTTACCAATGACAGTGTGGTTTGTAGACAGTTACACTGGGGGATTTATCCAGTGCTCACCCAAAGGGCAGATGTTGTGATAAAAATTATAGCGGCGGCGGATTATCTTGGGTTTCGAAAAAAAAAGTTGTTTATAAAGCTTGTTCTCCCTGTTGTGTCAATTGATTCATGCTTTCTTCACGCTATTTCACGTGCTTTATGAATTCCTTGAGTCTAAGTTAAGGCTCCCACAGTAACTTAAAAAGCTCTGCAAAGTAGTTATAAGGCTTAGGACTTGAGGTCACTTTTTGGGCCATTTGGGATGAGCTTGGTCTGCCTGTCAGAATCTTTTCAAGAGAGAATTATACATACCTCTTGTCATTAGTGTAATTTCATATATGACATATATTATAATACTATTTTCAAGCTATAACAGTAGATTTAGACTTTCAAGCTATACCATTAAAAATTTCAGGTTATAACAAGTTAAAAAAAAGAAATGTTTTTATTAATTGGAAAAAACTTAAAAAATAAATAAAAAGATAAACGAAAATTAAAAAAAAAAACGGAATTAGAAATAATAAAGTAAAAAACTGAAATTGTGGGTTGTAATTTAATTTGAATTTATTGTAGATAATTAATGATTAGCATGAAATAAGGGATCCGAACTAATTAAGAATATTCAGTTTCCTTAATTCACTCTAATTTGTTAAAATTAATTCAAAAATCTGATTTTAAAAATCAATTTCCATTTATTTAATAAATGATTAATCTATTTATGGTTTTTTATTATTAATTAATAATATGTAATTAATAAGGAAAAAATGAAAAAAAAAATGGAATAGGGGTGTCAATTAAATTTGAATTAATTTAAGATAATTATTAATTAGCATGAATTAAGGAATCTCAAACTAATTAAGAATATTCAGTTTCCTTAATTCACTCTAATTTGTTAAAATTAACTCAAAAATATGATTTTATCCATTTTTCTTCCACGTTTCTCTCTCTTCAATTTTCTTCCAGAAATTTTGTCACTGACAACTAATTGAAGTTTTTTTTTTTGTTTGAAAAATTCTATTTTTTTGTGATGGGTAACTACGTATCAATATTAATTAAACATGGCAGAAGATGGGATCCTTCAGGTTAGTATTTTTAATTGTTTACTATTTGTATTTGGATTTCAGTGAAATGAAAAAAAAAATGAAACTGTAAATCACATTTTGTGATTTTGTTTTTGTACATCGTCACTATATTGAATGTGATATGATTTTTTGTATAAACAATACGTTTTGTTCATAATACGTATTAGTTGTTGTGAAACTGTAATATTAGTGATTTTCTTGGTAAGTTTTTGTTTTTTGGTAGGGGTTTAATGTCACTATATTTTTTATTTTTTGGTTATTTTTTATACTAGTAAAACAATGATTTCGTGAGAAGTTGCCGCAAAAAGATTTGAGTATAAATGTATAACATATAAATATTTTTATCGTTGTAGATTGGGTACGTAGATCAAAATTATAATATTGATTACTGTTTTTTTTCCTGAAAAAATAAATTAAAATGTATAGTTTTGAATGAATTTGTTAGTATAAGTGTAATGAATTTGGTATGAAAGTGTATTCACTAATGTGAAAAAAATGTTATTTAGAATTTTGAAGAATTGTATGACAGTTGTTTTAAGTTGGTATGAAAGTGTGTTAACTAGTAAGTAAAAAAAGTTATTTAGAATTTTGAATAATTGTATGAAAAATGTTTTAAGTTGGTATGAAATTTGAAATGTTATTGTTTATATAAGTTTTGTCAATTATGTATAAATTTGTGTGAAAGGAATGAACTATTTGGTATGAGAAATATATAAATTTGGTATAAATGATGACTGTATGTATGAAATTTGTATTTAAGTGGGTATGAAATCTGAAATTTTATTTTTTAATGAAATATGTCTGTAGTTTACTGTCTAAATGATTTTTGTATGAAAAAATAATGATAAGTGTGTATAATTTTATTTTTTTTGTTGGTATTATGTAAAACTAATTGTTTTTTTTTTAATGAAACAGAGAAATCTATTGGTTTTCAGATGGAGGGAATTATATATGAGTATTCTAGTCTTTATAGTGGTCTAGTAAGTGCGATAACATCGCAACTAATGATAGATGCTAATATTCACAATATAGAGATAGAATATATAGTTAGTGATAGATGACCCCCTGTTAGTATCCACAATGATGTTGGTGTGTGGGTTTTTTTAGATCAAAAGAAAGCTAATGTAGATTTCTTTACGATTTCATATACTTGGAAATAAAATTTATTCCAAATTAATATATAAGATAGTGTAAATATTTGTACAGGTTTTCGATTTCAGATTCCAGATTTCATAGACGTGATTCATTAATTATTCATATAGATTTCATATACTTGGAAATAAAATTTATTCCAGATTAATATATAAGATAGTGTAAATATTTGTACAGATTTCAGATTCCAGATTTCATATACGCGATTCATTAATTATTCATACAGATTTAATATACTTGGAAATAAAATGTGTTCCAGATTAATATATAAGATAGTGCAAATATATAACAAACTTTATGCCAATCTTATTCAAGTTTCATTCCAACACGAACTTCAGCTTATATCACACATATTATACCAACAATAAATCAATTTCATATAATCACACAATGCATATCATTTGTATACCAATATTATATCACAATTAATATAATATCCAACCATCAAACATTAAATTCAGTGTCATACACATATTAATCAAATTTCACACACATTTCATCCATTAATTGTACAAGTTGGATACACACTGATATTTTAAAATAGTGAATCCAAATGGTATGAAGTCTGTATATTACTAGTATCCTGAAATTATAATAGCCAAACAGTAATTCATATGTAGATGATATCTGATTGGAAGAAAACATATGGTATTATATATCATGAAATACTTAAACACAAAAAAGTTGTCCAAAAGTATAAAAAAAAAATTAGCATGTAATTCTAAAAAAGTAGAAGGTGCAATCAACTATTTCAAATTTCTTATATGTGGTCTTGGTGTAGGATAATTGGTGGTATCCGGAATATGTTCTTTTGCTATGCGAGGTCCACCAAATTTGCTAGCAACCGTACCAGTAACTTCATTCTCACTGATCGCGCCATCCTCACTTTTTGTATATACAGTTAATAGACAATCACGCTACTGTTAAAACACAATTCATACCATTTGTATATCACTATTATATCACAAATCATACAATATCCAAGAATCAATTGTTTAATCGGAATCATACACATATCAATCAGATTTCATACGCGTTTCATCCAAACAACTATTTCGAAAATAATATAAGAATAATGTGATATTTTTAAAGAAAAAACAGTAGTTTTAATAATGTGAAAGTAAATTGAATATAATACTTACCCTAACAATTTTTTTTGTCTTTTTTAGGTGTTGCTCAGTCGTCAAAACCATCTACAAGATAGACATTCATTGATTTTCACAACTTCAACATTCATTGATTTTTTTCCTTTTTTCTTTTTTTATTTAATAACAAAATCAGAATCAGAATCAGAAGGGGTTTCAACATTTTTCCCGTTCCTCTTCTTTCCTTTTGATTTATCGGACTCACCCTTTTATTTGAGTCTCTTTTTTTTTTTTTTTTTTGATCTTTCAATAGAGATGAACCACCCCTAGCCGGAGTTTCAAACAATGTTTGACGACGGTGTTTGAGTCAAAATGTTGAAAGATGGAGCATGAACTTCATCCGTATAAGTTCCTTCGACTAATAGAGGGCTCTTTTGAGGAGTTACAACCGTTTTCTTCGACATGATTTTGTTGAAAAAACTAAATTGAATGGAGGATTGTGAAGTTGGTGTAGTTTGGTGGTGAGAAAGATGTGATAGATGAAGGTAAATGTGGGCTAGTGTGTTAATGGCATGTAGAATTGGATGAGCGTGGGGGGAGGGGGTGGTATTGACGTATGGGCGATTTGGAGGAGGGTGGGATTGGCGTATGGGAGGTGGTAACGGTAAAGAAGGAAACATGTTGTAGGTGAATCTCTATATTTATGTAACTGATAATTTCAGATTTAAAAAAGGAACATAAATCAATTTAATTACATATTATTAATTAATAATAAAAAACCATAAATAGATTAATCATTTATTAAATAAATGGAAATTGATTTTTAAATAAAATTAACTTTAAATTATATGTCATAACTCGTAAATAAACTGTTATAAGTAAGAATTTTTTAAAAGTATGTTTAAAACCCGTAAAATTGACTCTTAAATGTGTATAGGGCGTGATTTTTCCTTTTATTAAGT